GTAAGGGCCGAAGTAAATTTTTCATCGAGCTTGAAATGGCCTTGATGAACTTGAAAAATAATAGAGGGACCGAAAATAATTTTCCCTTGTATAATCTATGAGAGATTGAGATGGGGACAAAGAATATTATCTCTCTCGGGCACGAAGCTCAAAAAAATATCTCAATCTATGTTGGTAAAAAAATATATGTTTTAATGTGGGAAATCACGAGACAATCTTGTGGATGTGGGGAAGTCACGGGTCCCATGAAATGAAAAAAAGAGGATGCAATGTTGGCTTTATGAAAATGTTGTCTTTGAGGGAGACAACAAGTACAAAAGAAATAATAAAGTAAAAAAACAAGAGGCTTTGAGTATCATGAGTAAGGTTTGGAGCAACTCAAATTTTCTTTTTCTTAGGAAGAGTATAGGTAAGAGAGGTAAAGCTTTGAGTCCAGAAGCTATTTGTGGCTAAAAACAAGTGGGTAGAAGATATAAACTATTGGATAAACTTAGCTCTGATACCAGTGTACGAAAACGAAAGAGGAAAAGTATGATGGGTTTTTAGGAGGCTCCGGTAATGGGATTGATATTATTTTTTACTTCTCTATGTTGTGTTTTCTCAAAGACTGTACTTTATATAGAGGCTACTCCATCATCTCCACCCTCTTAAATTACTGCCTCAATATCTGGGAGATATCCTCTCAACCACCGCACTTCCATAATTCTCTCAACTAAGAATCTTACTGTTGAGAGAAGAATGGTTGATTTGGTCACGCAAGACCAAGTCAAATTAACAAATATAGAGCCATATAGCATCTCGTGTTGACTGTAGTTTATGATCTATAGGATAAGTGAAGCCAAGAAGGAAGTCGGTAGAGATATCAATAAATTAGTTAATGACTAATGCTTGAAGAAATCTAGGAACTTGATATGTATACTGACAAGATGTATCAAACATGATCATGCTAAGAGTTTTAGTTGAAGGTTGATGCTTGGTATCATTATTGGTGTCCACGGACTTTAAGTGCCTCGTCCCAAGCTGACTTATCCATATTTCTTAGAACACGTGACTTGTTTGTTTGTTTTGAGAACTACAGTATTATTATGCCAAGGAGACAATGCCTATTTCCTCTGATCCATGCATAATTAGATTTATGTTTTACCTCCCTTTTACTATAAGACTACTGCAGCTCGTTAGGTGTGCGGGAATGGACTGAATTGCACATGTTTTCTTTATGTCTTCTTACATTTATCACAACCCTTGTTTTCGTGTGATACAGCCTCTTATTTTTATTCAGTTAAATTGGTTTGTTTATTTTGTTCCAAACACTATAGAATACTAGTTGTTGACTTGTTCTGTACTCTGCAGGGACGTCCAAAGGGTGTAACCCCAAAGTACAGTTTGAAGCCTCTTGTACCTAGGCTATCTGAACTTCTTGGTGTCAATGTAAGCCTTAAATGTCCTCAGTAGTCTTATTTTCACCGACGGTATCTGGACTGAAGTTCATTCATACTTTGACATACTAAACTTTTGTGGCACATGATATAGGTCGAGATGGCCAATGACTGTATTGGAGAGGAAGTTGAGAAAATGGTAGCTGCTCTACCAGAGGGAGGTGTTTTGCTTCTAGAAAATGTTAGGTTCTACAAGGAAGAAGAGAAGAATGACCCAGGGTTTGCAAAGAAGCTAGCATCTCTTGCTGATCTCTATGTAAATGACGCGTTTGGCACTGCTCACAGAGCTCATGCTTCAACTGAAGGAGTTACCAAGTTCTTGAAGCCATCTGTTGCTGGCTTCCTCATGCAGAAGGTTTGATTGCATTTCATTACTTGTTTTAAACTCCCCTGTCTATAAGAAAAAGACTCGAGAGAAAAATATTTGAAGTAAAATGAGCTTATGGTTTTGGGGAAGATGATATTGTTTTCTGATATTCCTATTATATATATTTTTATTCAGTCTTTGCCAATTAGATACTAAATTATTTCATTTCATTCACGTTGAAGTACAAAATTGAACTGTAACCGATGCTTCTTTGGGTTTAAACGCACACATGTTAACTGTAAAACAATGTGGAGTTTGATCTTTTTCGTTCTCTGATAAATTTGAAATTTTGTTTTAGGAACTTGATTACCTTGTTGGTGCTATAGCAAGCCCCAAGAGGCCTTTTGCTGCAATTGTTGGTGGTTCGAAGGTATCATCAAAAATTGGAGTAATAGAATCACTGCTGGAAAAGGTCGATGTACTTCTGCTTGGGGGAGGAATGATATATACATTTTACAAGGCACAAGGGCACGCTGTTGGCTCTTCCCTTGTTGAAGAAGACAAGCTTGATCTTGCTACAGCTCTCCTTGAAAAGGCGAAGTCAAAAGGAGTTGCTCTTTTGTTGCCCACAGATGTTGTTGTTGCCGACAAGTTTGCTGCTGATGCTAACAGCAAGGTATATTCCCTTTGCTTCAATAAAATTAATACTTAATTACTTATCAAGAAAAGATAAATATTCATGGACATGTATAAGGAAAAGCAAGACATAGAATCAAACTAGTACATATAGTTTCCCTAATTCAAGATTAGGCTGCCGATTATTGGATCATATTCTGAATTACAATGTAGGTTGTCCAAGGAGTTGAGACAATTTGTTAACTTGTAATGCAGCTACTTAAGTTAACTTTTTGCTTTCTTGCAGGTTGTACCAGCATCTTCCATCCCTGATGGTTGGATGGGACTTGATATCGGACCTGACTCCATCAAGACATTCAGTGAATCTTTGGAGAGCACTAAGACTGTCATCTGGAATGGACCCATGGGAGTCTTCGAGTTTGAGAAGTTTGCAGTGGGCACGGAGGTACAGCTAGTCTATGTTAAAGCATAAAATTGCCCTCGACCTTCACCATAATTTCGGACTTTTTTTTTATTATAGTGGAAGAGACTTTTGAGACGATATTAGAGCAACCAAAGTAGGAAATCCTATCAGGCAGGCGTTTAAGATTTAAAAGGAATACTTGCATAAAATATCCCAGCTTTCAATCCATGATGAAGGCACACAACCTAGGAGGCATTTTAGAGCATAATAAAATTACGACACTCAATCCTCACTTTAAGAGTTTACCAAGACACATTTAAGATGTTTTCTTAACGACATACGTATCATTCAGTGAAGGCATATGCGTTTCAGATGTATCAACAGAGAGAAAAATGAATGAACTGTGACCGCTCTGACATTTTTTCCCGCTATGGCAGGCCATCGCAAAGAAGTTGGCTGAGCTGAGCGGAAAGGGAGTGACGACCATCATCGGAGGCGGCGACTCCGTGGCAGCTG